GGAGGATGGATTTTCCTAATGACCTAGACCAGGTTAAAGCTTTCCCATGATTCAACTATTCACTCATTTATTTGATCAATAATATGTGTTGGGTGTCCACTGAGTGCCTGGCATGGGGGGTATAATGATGTTCAAACCCAGAAATGGCCACTGCTCTCATGGAACTCACAGTCCAGTGCTAATGACAGATATCACCCCTCCCACACCCCCACACCCCCCAAAAAAATCACTCTTGGGAGTGAACAGCTACAATCAGAAGGAAATACCATAAAGGAAAGGAGAGCATGGGCAGAGGACCAGTGTAGGTGTAGAGGAGGCTGCCCTGGTGGGAGACACTTGAGCTGACAGCTGAGGGTGAGTAGGAGTTAATGAGTATGTATGAGCGTTCCAGGAACTCCAGAGGGAAAGGAGGTGAGCAAATCCCCCGAGGCAGCCATGTGGCTTGGGCTTAGGGAGTGAGAGGATGCTGGAGGTTTGGTAGGAGGGCATCCCTGAAGGCCACAGGAAGTTTTGAATTTTGACCCTGAGAGCAATGGGGAAGCCACTGAAGGATTCCAAGTTGGAGCTGGGGGAGGAGGCTGGAGGTGAGTGCATGACTGGATTTATGTTGACAAGGTGACTGGGGCTTCTGCTTGGAGAATGGATGTGGTGGTGCAATGGGGCATGGTCCAGGTTAGAGAGATGATGGCTAGGGAGGATTCTACAGAAGAATGTGTGAAACTGGCAGAATCAAGAGGTCTTTGGAGCCTCCCTCACACCTGTGCAACAGGACAGAGCCACAACAATGATCCTTGATGCTGGGCAGTGCTAAGAGGCACCCAGGAGGCTTCAATTAAGATTGGAGGAATAAATAAAATATGTCTGTGGGACTTTAGAGAGGGACCGATAACAGCATGCTAGGGTGGCATCAGGGTCAATTATTTTGGGGGATCTGACTAAGCCTAGGGAGCAGGGATGAACCAGACCCACTTCTTGCCTTTAGAAGGACCTGGGCTAAGGGTCACCAAAACCAGGTTCCCTGCAGGTTATGGGAGCAGAAGAGGGAGCATGGAGGGCAGCAAGTTGAGAATGCAGTAATGGCAGTAGGTCAGGATTGTTCCCTCCTTATCCTGCAAAATTGTCCATGTCACTCCCAGGAGAGAGGGTCCTTATATTTTTATTTTCTATCTTGAAAAATAAGTAGCTATTCTGACTATCTCCCAAAGAGTTGTGATTTGCTCCATTGTATATCTAATGATTTTTATGGAAGTTTAATAACTTTATCCTACTTTCCTGGGAAAATTGGTGGGACAGGGTGAGCGACCTCTTCTATTCTTACTCTGGGAATGCAGCAGTGGGTAGCAATATGGGTCAGTGGAGGACAAACCTGCTGGTGACAGGGCATCAGGAAAGGTTCCCAGTGACATACAGAACCAGGTGGGAGCTAAGCAAGGCAGGGCCAGTGCCACCAGGTGCCACTCAGCCTCATTCAACCAGGCCATATCTATGTGGATCTAAGGCAAATTTGAACCACTTACAGTATAACATTCAGTTTGAGCCGGGTTGAATTAATATGTGTTGATTTGACTCTGTCTGATTTGAATTGTGTGATGCGCATAAAACTAAGGCATGCTATTTTGATTATAGGTTTGTTTTGAGCCATTTCAAGCTTGTTTGGAAACTTTCCTGTTTTTTTTTTTTTGTTTGTTTGTTTTTTAAATGATGTGTGTGTGTGTGTGTGTGTGTTGACATCTGCCTCTAAGTTCTTGGAAGGTGAACTCAGCCAGGGCAGGATAGTTGACCAGACTTAGTTCATACTATGGTTTTGAACAGTGTTCATCCCACCAAACTCCATGCTGAGGCCCAATTCTTCAAGGGGAGGGTGTTGAGAGTCAGCGGGACCTTTAAGAGGTAATTAGCTCATGGGGTCTCCGCCTTGTGAAGGGATGAATGTAGTTTCCAAGCAAGTGGGTTAGTGATTGAGAGAGTGGGTTAATTAGGGCAAGAGCAGGTTATGAAGTGATACTGGCCTCCCCTGAGTTTCTCTCACACACATGCTCCTTCCACACATTCCTGCTACCGTCTTCTGCTTTCTGCTACAAGGCCCTTTACCAGAAGCTGAACAGATGCTGGTGCCATGCTTTTATACTTTGAGAACCATGAGATAAATAAACCTCTTTTCTTTATAAATTCTACAGTCTCAGATGTCCTGGGGCAACAACAGAAAACAGAGTCAGATAGTTTTATATGCAAATAACCAATGGTAAGGCTTTTCCTGAGAGGTTCTCAGTCCTGATATCTTTCCCTCTGCTGGGAGGAGACAAAGATGACTTTTAGGGTGATGGTAGCTTTCATCCACTCAAAGATGGTCTGGATGGGGACCTACCAGCAAGTTAAGAGTCAATGTTGGGCTGGGGATATAGCTCAGTTGGCAGAGTGCTTGCCTAGCATGCACAAGGCCCTGGGTTCAATCCCCAGCACCACCAAAAAAAAAAAAAAAAAAGAGTCAATGTGACTAGGGAAGGGTCTCTGGGAACCCTGGCATCAACATTCCATGCAGAGCAACCTTTCAGTCAGACCCCAGAGCTCCTGAGCCCACTGACTGCATCTGATCTTCTTAGGTCTCCTAAAAACCCTGGTCTTTTTCATACAACTTAGAAAACCTGTGTAACATTAAGGTGTAGAAGTGGGTCTATACTAGGTATGTTTGAGAATAATGTAGACAAAACAGTGACTGGATACCAGGGCTGGGGTTTGCACAACTATGACTTGCTGGGTCAATAACACATCCCTAAAAAAGTTCCTAAAAAGTTTAGATAGGGAATTTTGATGGAATTTCTTAGTTATGTCAGAGCCAATTTCTTTAAGGCACATGTACATATAATTTTTGGTCTTTATTTCTCCAGAAATGTCCTCAGGGAATGTTATTCCATAACAAGCCATAAGTCTAATCTGGTTCCTGACAGGCTCCGGCCTTATGCTGTGCATGATGCCTCTTCCTGCCTCCACTCCAGCCTCCCTGGTCTTGTGCACCCACATCCCCAAACCAGGGGCGTCTGCACCTCCTGCTCCCCACCTGGAATTGGCCTCCTCCCACTATTTCTGCTACCCTTCACCTGCCTAGTCGGTCCCTGTCATCCACAGTTCAAAAACCACTTTTGAAGTCTTCAGACTTTTTAAATACATGATCTTAGAATGCCTCTGGTCATAGTTTATGACCATACATCTTTTGGGGCAAGGGATTATTTTCTTAAGGCCTGAAAAATAGCACTATAAACAATCTTGTCACATATCTAGCCAGATAACATCATTCAGAGATGATACTGTTTCTCAACCTTGGTACTATTGGCATGTGGGTTCAGAAAATTCTTTGTTGTGGGGTTTGCTCTATACATTGTAGGATATTTAAGAGAACACTTGGTTTCTACCCATCAGATGCCAGTAGCCCTCCTCAAAATAGCCAAAAATGTCTCTAGACACGGCCAAATGTTCCTTGGGAAGGGTGGCAAAGCTGCTTCAGGTTGAGGACCACTGACTTAAATGTTTATAAGAAGTTTGGGATTTTGCATATAGGTCCCTTTGCTGAAGTCTCTTTGCAGACCAGCACCAACCAATGGAAAAATAAAAGGTATAATGTGGGAGCCATGTACATAATTATAAATGTTCTAGTAGCTGCATTAAAAGAGTAAAAAAGAAAGGTGAAATTAATTTTAATAATATATTTTATTTAACCCAATACATTAAAAATATTGCCATTTCAGCATATAATCAATACAAAATAACTATTATTGAGATATTTTACTTTCAATTTTCTTGTACTAAATCACCAAAATCTGGCGTTTTTCCCTCAATTTTGATTAATCACATGTCAAGGTGGTTTCTGCTTAGGAGTTGTGGGACAGAACTAGGCTTGCTCAGAGGGGTCTGGCCTGCTTCACCCCTTGGGTCATTAGCAGACTGTGCCACCACCCCTTAGCAAAGCCAGGCAAGGTCCTCCTTTGCTCATTTGGCTCACAGGTTACAGTTCATTCCAATGCAACCTACGGAGGGACCCACTCTCTGGAAGAATGGGTCCACCCAGTAAAGTCACCTAAGTACTTGTGGTGTGCTAATCAGATGTGGTGTTCTTTGTGAGTGCACAAGAGGTGAAAGGGTCTCTGCTGCACACATCTAGTGAGATGAACACTGCTTCCAAGCCCAGCCCCTCCCCAGATGTCCCACCCACCCATCTCCAAAGACCATTTTTTATCCTTACTGCTTATAAGGGAAGCTTCCACAGACATTGGTTACCCCAAAAGATATATTTTCTCAAAAGACAGGTATTCTCATCTAAATGATACTTGATCTGGCCAAGAAGTTGATGTCCAGGGAGATGCTCTCTGTACCCTATCCAGTGGCTGAGTCCCCAGGCCACTCTGCTAGGACACGTGCTATCTCTTGTTTATCTCAATATGCTTCTGTTCATTCCCTTTCTTATCTATGGACCCTGCAGCTTCCTGAGCATTATTCTGGCAAAAAGGTCTGCCTGCCCCCTGCTTGCCTGAAGAACTGCTTTTTATAGGCTCCACAGAGCATCCTCTCAGGAGGCTGGAGAAAGATCCTTGCTTGAACCCAACTTTCTGTAGAAGCAAGGGCATTGCCCTCCCTGGTAAGAACCATTTCTGTCTTTGCTACAAACAAATCTTGGGCATTTCCCTTTTAGAAAAGAAAAAAAAGTTCTCCCAAAGTTGCGGCCACCTGTTCACCTGGAGCAAAAGAAGGATTTTGTAAAACACGGAATGTGGGGTGGAAATTTGCTCACCCACTCCGGCACTAAGATAGCCCCCGCCCTTGCAATCTCAGGTCCGAGCCCCACACAGCCCGGAATCTGGCTAGAAACGGCACATCAGTGAACAAGGATGCTCAGCGTGCAGCGGCAGTAGCCGAAGAACGCCCGTCCCAGCGGATACCCAGCAGTGTCTGCGCACTTTTGCCAAGAGGCACTTGTAGTGCACCGAGAAACCTCAGAAGGCTGGACTTACCCCTTCTACTCTGCCTGATCTTTGGGCTCAGCATATTCCTGCAGTCGCTTGGCTAGACTCTCTGGGTTGATCATACTGTCGTCCACTTCCCTGTTCTCTTCTTGTCGTCCTTCATGCCTCTCTTGCTTGGGCAGCGTGGCCCCTGGCGTCGCCCGCGAGGCTCCCTCGGCTCCCTCTCCCGGCTCCGGAAGGTCGGCTTGCCTTGTACTACATAAACCTCGATGCATTATTTATCCATCCCAGAATTAATTTCCATCCAAGCGGACCATTAAGGGCACGGTAATCTTTGGTGATCAATCACTGGGCCAGGGCGGGGCCGGCCTCTCAGTCCCTCGGCTCCGCGGGGCGCACAAGGCGCTGTCCATTCGGAGCTGAGCTGTGTGCGGAGGGGGCGGCGCCTTGGAGAAGGTGGCCGGGGTCTGGGGACGGGGAGGCGGGGCCAGTGGAGCCGAGTGGAGAAGTCTCAGCCCGCCGCCGAGTGTTTCCAAGACTGTCTGAGACACTTGTGCCGCCCGCTAGAGGCCACCAAGAGGCCAGAGGAAACATGGGAATGTGGCTACCCCAGCCCACATGCCCTGTTAAGGCCTGGGTTAAGACAACGCTGTTGATGAAGGAGTGGCCCAGATCCTTCCTGGCCCTGTCTAATGGGTCTAGTTTATAAGCTCACTGTTCTAAATGTTGAAAGACAGGTGTGTTTTAGAAGCAGCCAGCAGCCTGGCAATGTTCAGATCCTCTAGGGGACCCGAATAGCAGGAAAACGCCAGTTAGGAATGTTAACTATTTATGACTCCTTAGTAAGATGACAGGAGTAAAATTGCTGTGAAGCTCTGAGTTCAGGATCTCTCACATGGTAGGATCTGCAAAGCTATTCTCTGAGTTTAATAGTGAGTTTAATAGTGAATTTCTGCTCATTAGCTACGTTTTTATTTAATACTTGCATAATTCTAAAGGACATATATTGGACTTTTGGGATGTCCAGCTTCAAAAACCTAAAAATCCCTCCACAAACACAATCATAATAAGAGCTGTCACTTATTAGACACCTACCGTGTGTGTGTCAGGCATGGGGTTGGTGCTTTATGTTCAGCTTATCATTTAATTCTCTAACTCCCCAGACAGGTGTTATGATCAAGTTTTTTTCAGATAAGGAAAATAAAGCATAACAATGTAAATTTCTTGGCCAAGGTCATGTATTTCCTAGTGACAGGGCTGGCATCGGAACCCAAAACTGTCTCTACAGCTCCTACTTTTCTATAATGCCAATCTTTCTAAACACCCCAGTTTTCACTATTGCGAGTTAACAGTTTGTGGCTTGAGACTGTTCAGTGAATTTGTTGGACAGTAACCCCCTACCCCGACAGTTATCCCTGTGTCCTCTTAAACATGTGAATTTGTGGCTGGGTTATAATCTCCCTTGAATGTTCTCCCTCCAGCTTTCTCCCTTTGTGTACCCCATGTCCACTGATCCACAAATGCCCCATAGACACTTAATTAACTCCAGTAGCTGGAAGGAAAGAGGGACCCATTGGGAGATCATCACAGCAGCCACACTAGGGATGAGAGAATATGAAGTAGGGGATAAGCCTCCTTACTCTCCCCTCCTCCCCTCCTCTCCTATTCCAGACTCACCAGGATGTGGTAAGCCACATGGCCAGGGAGAAAGCAGAGTCCACAGAGACAAAACTGTCTTACTCAGCATCCAGTCACTTTTCCTGACCCTCATCTACTCATCAGAGGGGAGACTAGGTATTTTCACAACTTTTCATGGTAGTACCCATGCGTCGACTCCTCCCTGACCCATCTCTTGCCACTCGACCATGTTCCTGAGCAACTTCTGTTCCCTGTGCTCCACTGCTTTTGCACATGCAGCTCTACTCCCATGTGCCTCAGTGTCATTACACACATAGCCCCTGCTTCTATGCATCCCTGTGCCTTTGCAGGTAGAGTAAGTGCCCTGTCTCAGGAATGCCCTCCCCCACATTGATTCACCTACTTATTTGTCATGCTTTGGACACTTCCCCTATGAAACTCTCCTGATTACACTAGCTGAAGGATCCACTAAGCACTTCCCCTGGACCGTTTTTTGTATCCCTTAGACTGCTCTTCTTGCTCTCCAAGGCCTGAGCCCCAGGCTGCCTCAGGCCAGAAGCCCTGCAAGAAATATTGTCTTGAGCTGGGGATGATGGCAAACACCTGTAATCTCAGCAGTTCCTGAGTCTGAGGCAGGGGGATAGCAAATTAGAGGCCAGCTTCAGCAACTTAGTGAAATCCTTAGGAACTTAGAACATGTATCATTAAAAAAAAAGAAAAAAGAAAGAAAGAAAAGGAGTGGGGTAGAACACCCCTAGGTTTAATCACCAATACAAAAAAAAAATGGCTTGATGAGTAAATCCAAGAAACATCATTGAACGAGACTCCTTTTCCTTTAGAATAAGGTACAAGCCAGGTCAGGCTAGGACAGAGGCCACCCAAGAGAAGTAGGGAGGGTATAGAACTGGAGAAGTCTCATGTTGACACTAAGGTCACAGGACAAGTCCCATGACCTATGTCTTGAGCAATCAGGAAGCCATCTGTGAGTAATGCAGCCTGGCCTGTATTCTCCAAGTTAGAGGCAAGAAAATGCCCTGAGATATAGAGTAGGTCCACTCACACTTGTTTTGGTTAAGAAACCACCTCCGGGCACTTTTCCTGCACAGCTGTTTCCTCTGATGACATGAAGTCACTGCTCTTACTCGCCTGCTTTCCTGGGGATCAGAGCTGGAACAGACAAAAACCACAGACTCTGGGCTCAAACCCAGAACTTGAGCTGGGAAATGAGCAGGAGCCAATCCCAATTCTGCAACAGAGAAAGGTGGGGCCTGGGGGTGGTGGGAAAATGGATCTGCCCTCGACCATGCTCCCCGTAGGTCCAGATGAAGGACTCATAAGGTGGAGCCAAAAGGGTCCTTAGAGCCCTCTCCAGGCTAAAGTTTACAAATTCAGCTCAGGAGGCCCCTGGGAGCCTCCACATCCCTCTGAGGTTGCTGGAGAGAGAGTGAGGGTGAGCACAAGAACAGGGCAAAGGGATCTGTGGAACATGAGGACTCCATGTGTTTACTTTTCTTTGAAAAAAGAGCCCCATTCCCCTCACTTATAAGGAGGGAGATATATTGGTCTGTTTAACAACAGAAGAGAGAGTCTCCCTGCATTCTGGTCCTGCCCCTCTCCAGCTGTGGTCCTGGGTCTAACTTCACTGATTTCCTCCCTTCAATCATTCAGCATTTTCTGAGGGCTGCTCTGGGGCAGGTGCAGAAGGGTGAGCAGAGGGTGCTGAGAGGGCAGAACTCTCCAGAACACATCCACTGAAACACACACCTTTTGGTAGAATGGGCACCCACCAACACTGACTGGCTCAGAGCCAGTATGCTTTCAGAACAGTGGCTCCTGCCATGGCTGCACACTGGGGAGCATAGACAACTAATGCCTGCAGCTCTGATTTAACTACTGTGGCATGCACAGTGGTCACTGGGATTTATCAAATCTCCCCAGCCATCCAATGTGCAGCTAGGATGGAGCTGAGAAACACTGTTTTAGAAAACAGCTGCATGTCTCTGGGCCTGGGGCCACCAGAGGTAGCCTTTGCCTGCTGTTTTTCAGAAGGAAACTTCTCATGAAGAGGCACATCTGCCAATCAGTCACTCAATCAGAAAGAAGAGGGCCATTATCCCCAAACCCCAATGGGCAACAGCTCTGTTCCATGCACAGACACAGGTGCTATAGTGTAGTCTGTACACTGCACAAAGGTGTACAGCAGAGGAAGGTGACAGGCTTGGGTTGTACAGGCAAAGCTAAGTGTTCTAGCATGGGGGTTGGGGCACAACCAGGAAGGGAGTTTTTCTTTAATTTGCCCAACGATGCCATATAGATAGAAGAGTCCTGCTTTCCTGTTCCAGAAGCTGAGGGTTAAGCACCTCTGGAGGCTGAGGGGGAAACAGTGATACCTTGGCTCTGCAATGCCTGTTTAGTGGTCACCAGCTCCAGTGGCCCCTGCCTGCTTACTTAGTGTGCTCTTTGTCCCCTCTTCTAGGAGGTTGCTGTTCCAGTTCCCTAGCATGTCACTCAAGGTCTTTACCGGAAGCTCCCACCCTCATTCTCTAGTTTCTCTTGTTGCTGCCCATCTCGGTGGTGTGCTGGAGCAGCCAGTCAGTATCAGTTGGCAAAAGAGTTGATAGTTAATTTTTCAGGAATTTTGCAAGCCAGTGCATTAAAGAGAGCAGCATTAGAAATTAAATGATATGAACTTACAATTAAATCAACTGTATTTCAAATAAATACTCATCACTTCCTAATCATTTTATTATATCTTATTATGCTTAAGGTTATTTACATCTATCCTATACAGTACGGAGAATACTATATATTGAGTGGCTACCATGCCTCTCTTTCCAATTCCATGTTCAATGACATCATGCTGGTACTTTGAAATCAGTTCTGGTGGGAGTTATGTGCACCAAGGAAGTCAAACAGTGCTATAAATCAGTGCTGAAGAATTTGTTTCTTTCAGAGAGCCTGTTGTTAGGCACTTGTCAGCACACCTCTGGCCTCTGCCTAACGCATTTATTCTGGTACCTGAGTCACTGTGAAGTGCCGCTCTGGGCAGAGATTGCCAGCGCTCCACTTGAATCTGTTCTGCCCTTCTTCCTGGGAACACTCAGATTTCCAGCTTTCTTGCAGTTAAGTGTGACTGTATTCTGGCCATTGTTCAAGATTAGAAATGATGAGGCCTGGCCCAGGGCATTCTGATCCCTGATGCCTCTGCAAGTTAATTTCCCCTTTTTCTGGTTTATTGAGATGGGGCCACCTTGGCAGTCCCATGTAGAGGGTAGATATCACACAGTTGGCTCTGAATGAGTGGAGTCAAGTCCTCACTCTCAACCTGGAAGCAACTAGGATGGTTATAAGAGGAAGAAATTTAATTCCACTGTATCAATCTTCCCACCAGAAATACATGCCACCTGCCCTTCCTTGCCTAATGAGACTTGTATGTGTGGCACTGGAGACTGAACCCAGGAGTGCTCTTGCTCTGCCACTGAACTAAATCCCTAGTTGTTGTTGTTGTTGTTATTATTATTATTATCATTATTATTTTGATGCAGGGTCTTGCTAAATTGCCCAAATGGAACTCAAACTTGGAATCCTTTTGTCTCAACAACCCAGTAGCTGGGATAACAGGCATGTGCCACTGAGCCCAGTTTACCTACAAAGCTTTGGCACATCCCTCCAGACCTTGTTCCAGTGTCACTTCCTTGCTCAGTGTTTCTACGTTAAAACTGGTCATCTTTCTACCTTCCTTTTCATGCCGGCCCAAGTACCCTGGGGCCTTCTATAAGTCTGGACACCAGATTTAGGGA